TGGTTTAAGAAGAAACCTATATATAGCATGCCGGTTGCGGCCACACCATTTACTACTTGTGATGATTATATCGAACTGTTTGCATGATCACAACGTCTAGAAGTAACGAAATTTAATGTGATCACCTTTCGAACAAATCTGCTATCATAGACAGAAGGCATAGCACTGCATAAACAATTTGTTTTTGAACGCAGATATTCCTCAAATTTTTTTCATGGTGCGGTAATAGTTTTTTCATGGCTGGCCTGTCGTGTTTAGGCATTCAGCTAATAAGCTGTCAATCCAGCGGACGGGGCTGATGGCTCATAGTATTGCAAATCAGTTGCTCAAGAAGGAAAATTGCCATTTTTTTCATTCTTAATTTTACCGAAGACATCTGCTTCGAAATGATAATAGGCATTCTTGAATGGTAGTATTATTTAATTATCATCAGGCGTCGAAGCCACCACTTCGTGCGTTGTTAACTACTATTCGAGGTATTTGTACAGAACCACCTTCGTTATGCCATGCAATGATGATATGAATAAGGCATTTTCGACGACGAGCGGATTTTAAATGCGGCATACACAACATCTACAAGTCTAAATCTTGCACGGTCTACCGGAAACAAGGCAGATCTTTCATTTTTAGCTGCAAATAACAAAGAACCTTGTTGACGATGACAGAATCGATGATCTCAAATTGGTGAAACTCATACACCGGTTTACTTCGTTCTTGCACTTAAGCAAATCTCTTGCGCCAGAAGGATTCTTTATAATGCTTGACTTCTGAACATTAAGAAATGTATAAGATTTCTAAGGTATGCTGCCGATGAAAACTACCAATTTGCAAACTAAGCTTTTTATACTATTCATCAGCATTCACAAGCCCAAGTGAATCTAAGTCAACAAATTATTTGGATGGATATTTTGAATGAAACTTTCGCCTCGATTTCGCATCGCACTTCACCGAAAAAAAGTTCAGAAGTAATGTATGAACAGCAAAAGCGAAGTTCACATCTCTGGCGGAAACCATAATTGATATACAAACAATGAGATAGCTTTGCTTTGACGTAATGGCAAATACGGTTCCTTCTAAAAGGGAAACTTCAACCGCTTTAGGCATTCGACAGCTTGTTAAAATATGTATAATAAAAGTAGATTAAGTGACAATGAAAATGGTATAATGGGATTGCCGCCACGACTCAGTGATTTTATGAAGAGAGAACAAATGATAAAAAGAAGAAACCCTTCAAAAATCTGCCTGATTTGAATGGAGTCTTGTAGCTAAAATTACAGTTAACCCATTGGTCCTTGTACCTGCAGTCCGAGATAATAATTAAAAGTTTGTGGGACGAGATTTATCCAGTGGAACATTCTTTAACCTTAACTTCCACAGTTCGTGAAGCAGACCTGTTACACATGAAAGAATAAATGAACAGGAAGGCAAACACGATTATGTTACAATGTGACATTAACAACAAGAAATTCATTTCATTTTCAATTCATCAACCTGATTCATCAACGACGATTTTGGATGATGGTTTAAGTTGCAGTCAGTAGAAATCTGATGTAATAAATAAAGATTACCTCCAATATTTTAGGCGTGCAAGTCTTCTTCAAGGTAAAGTGAAATTTTCTCAGGTACAATAGAAGTATATTAATCACGACATAAATCAGGCAGGTAAGACGAATGAAGACAGGGCAATATAGTTTCTTACATTTAAAAATTCGTGTTGCTCTTGGCATACACTCTGATATTATTCGCTCAGACGTGCCAATTCCTAGATCAAGAGTTTGACCAATTTCTTCGGCGTGAACAAGCAGATACACTGTAAATGCTGTCATCGCAAACTGGATTATCAAGGCGAAGGACAGAGTACCCAGATTAACGATTTCGGACACATTACGATCAATCGATTCAGATGAAATAAATTTCTATTCGACGGTTAATTACACATTCTCTTAAATCAGCTCAACAGCTGATACAAGTGCTTGAACTCCTTGGCAAAAGTGGCAGCATTAGCATAGATTTAAAACCGACCGTTGATCGAATTGTTCTTAACCTTTAGAGCACAATAATAATGCAAGGAATAAAAAATAAATTTATTCAGCACAATAAAATTAAAGATAAAAATATAATTATTTAGCTTTCGTGGTCTCAATGGGACAGTTGAAACAGTCGTTGCTTCCATAATTTAATCAACAATCGCTTATGAATTAACAAAACAATAAAGAACAAGAAAAAAATAGGACAGAGACGTCTGACATGACGGTGATCAACTGACTACCGCGCACATAACGAAATTTTATTCAACATACCTGAGCTTTTTAAGTTCCAAAAATACTTAAGCTGTTCACAGATCATGTGCAACGAGCTATAAATAAACAGACAATATAGTACGTACTGGATTTACATGGTACCACACCATGGTACAAATGAAAATAAAAAGTAATATTAAAATACAATGTAATAACCATACCACAAAACAATAAAACACCACCACAAACTATAAACATGTCGGTCGGTCAGTTGAGAGTACCACGGCACTGCACAGATCCGCAGTTGCACGTGATTTTGTCGTCTTCCAACGGAAACTTGTAGTCGTACGTGATTTCTTGACCGCGGCGAATCGGCTGTTTCGAATAAATCACGATACGCTTCTCGCCGTTCACAGTAATAATTTTTGCATAGCAAGTCGGCTAAAATATAAACTGTTACGACAGTACAAAACAGAATATATAAAAACAAAGCAAAACCAATGATTCGAATAGCGGTATAAGAGAAAAAATACTCTGATGTTCCGTGAAAACGAAGCTGTGTACAATTTGACCTGGTATAACGACTTTCATTCGTTTTACACAATAATAAAATCGGTTTAAAATAAGAAACGTTACAGTTTTCGCGCTGTAAAATCAGGTGTCAGTAATTAAAGTGTTGAATATGCGCATAACATATACATCCGCGTGTGCCAAATTAAATAACTAACTATAAATGCATTTATGTAGATTAAGTAATTAATTACAACCAACATACCAGAAAAACAAAAAATTATTTTTTTCAGAGGGTAGATGGAATGATAAATTTTAGTCTAAAAAAATTAAAGGCAATAATTTCCACAAGCAATGGTAAATGTATTCATGATAACGTCAATCTTTTGAACAGAGGATGAGTAATCACGACTGCATACAACATCTTTCATATTACCTGAATGGTCAAGATCACAT